ATGCAAGTAATTTCTTGCTTCAATTTAATTGTATAGAACAGGCAAGAAACTTGCATAATATAAAAGGGGCTTTAAGATTAAACATTAAAATTTGTCGAAAAAAGGAATGAAACGTGTTTCGCCGCTGTGGAAATCGAACCCCCGTCTTCGGGATTTGCGCCCTGACGCTCTAGCTACTAAGCTAAACGGCTGATTGCCACACTGACGAAATTCTCAACGTCCTTTATCTACATTGTTTTGTAGCAATTTAAGCAATGCTTTGCGCATCCATTGTTATATTCTTTCCAGCATACAAACAATTAATGAAATTGTTTGTATTTTCCTAAACACAATAACTTTAAAAATAACTTCGTTCCTATATCTGTCTTCCGGTACCTCTTTTGAATATAACGGTATTGTTTCCCTACTCTTTTCTTTTAATAATAATGATGCTTACGGAAATAGAATTAATATTAAGTCGTCAGTTCCTCTATATCTATATAAGACAAAAGTTCTTCGTTTGCCATTAATGCTTTCATTCCATTGAGTTATCTGAAGCTTAAACAATTGAAGAGTCCTTACATTAGCGTAGAAATTCCACGTGCTCGGCAACGTACCATAAATGTAAGCTCTACGGCAAAAAAAGAAATCAAAATAATCTACTTATTTTATCAACATTGTTTTTTTTCGCAATGTAAGCAATACTTGGCGCATCTATTAAAAATAGAGTGCTGTTATTGATATAACCTTAACAGCACTCAAATAAATTCAAATAACGTTTAACAACGGTCTCAAGAGAGACTACGCCTTTTGAAGTGAAAAGTACAGTGCGAGTGAGAAGAATTATAAAGACACGGCGAGGATTTCTGCCTAAACTAGGGTGCTACGCCTCTATGACAAGGCATCACTGTTTTGAACTTACTTTGACCGTATTAAAAAGGCTTCCTTTGCATGTATTGTATTAAATATCTTTAATATATTGCATTAAATATTTAAATTATATTTTATTAAAATATTGAGCCAATGTAACAAGTAGCTTACTGTCGCGCTATTTTGAATAATAAAAAATGAGCAAAAAAAATTTTTAAATGAAATGGTTTTAAAACATGTAGAAAAAGTGCGAAAAGATTGTCGCCGTTGTGGGAATCGAACCCACGTCTTCGGCAACACTCTTCGATTCCCACAACGGCGACAATCTTTTCGCACTTTTTCTACATATTTTAATGTTCAATCTTAAGTGCAAAGATTAGCACTATAAACAATTTAAATTTCTGAAATGGTTTTATTGAAAATTTCACACACCCAACGATTTTATTTTTTTGTCTGATCAATGCCCTATAATATTATTATCATATATATATATATACAGGGTGGCTTTTCTAACCTCATAACCAACTCGCACACAAGTTTGTGCATAGTAAAATTTAGGTATTTATGAATGATTACCGCATTGTCAACACGTTCTGTTTTTTAGGGAATAGAATGGCATTTTTTTGGAAAAAAAACTTTGTTTTTTATTTCAATAAACGATTATACTACCGAGTCGGAACCTCCTGTGTAAATTTGGGCACTTCTCAAAAAATCTCCCTGTATATAATAATTTTAACTCCATTCTGCTATTCAAACCCTTTCATTTCATACCCATATCGAGCAAGGAGTGATAAAATATGCATTTGTATTTGCTTCATCGAACGCAGAACCGGTGGTCTAGCCAGAATCCACGGGTTTGAGGCCCTCCTCAGTGGGTAGGGCCGCGCATGTACTCATGCGTGCGTTAATTATGGCATGTCGCCTACGGGCCATCGAAGTTTGGTGCAGACGGTGACCCGGCGGTGAGAACCGCACTGGAACGCGTGTGTATCTGCTATACGCATTGTGTTGGTTTCGCCGTGCTCTCAGGCGAGGACGAACTATGGCGTTTGTTAATGTACTAACTGAGTGAGGAGTGTTATTTGGCGGGAGCCCCGACAATGGGTCCAACGTACTTAAGTCCCGTTCCTCAACCGGGTTGATGAGAACGTTGCGCGATGCTTGTTGACGTTCCCGTTAATGTCAGGTTGGTAATTTGCTGCGCTTACCACCATAGTGTTGGGATGATGTGAACCGTTTGGTGAGATCTTTAAAATGTTCGCGAATCGTCGGAAGTCTGCAGTCACTGTGCAGGTCGACGTTGAGTTGATAGCACTGCGCACCGGATGCGCAGCGGATGAACTTATTTTGTACTATTTCCAACTTCGACAAGCGAGTAGGGTTTATGTGGGCGTAGGTCATGCACCTGTAGGACATAATAGGTCTTACGCTGGCCTTATACAATGATAATTTTTGCCTTAAGGGCATTTTACTTGTCGCATTGGTTAGGTGATAGAGCCGGCCGGAGACGAACGCGGCTCTGTTTCTAATTTCGTTAATATGCGACGTGAACGTCATGCGTGAGTCGAAAGTGACTCCTACATATTTGACCTTTGAGCCTTGTGGAACGCCAGCCGTGAGGCGGCGACATGTAGAGAGGGTGCCCTCAACTCGATATCAAAAAGAGCGGTTCGACAGGAAGTTCCGGATAGCATCCACGTTCCTATCTGGCACGTTGAGTGCAAACAGCTTGTAAAGCAAGCCGTTGTGCCAGACCTTGTCGAATGCTTTTGCGACGTCGAAGAAAAGAGCTCACGTGCTTATATGTTTGGGATGATTTAGGCCTTTCAGAACATGTTCCGTTAGGCGGTATAATTGATCGGGACAGGAGTGTTGAGCTCGAAACCCAAACTGTTCAACCGGCATAAGGCCGTTAAATAGGTGCTCTTTACAGCCTGCCTCTTATAGCCTGTTTAATGATAACCGCTCATAGAGCTTCCCCAAGCAATTGAGGAGGCTGATGAGACGATAGCTAGAGTGCTTATTTACGGCTTATATTTGGCTTGCGAATGCCGATGACGGTGGCCTCTTTCCAGTCGTCCGGGAAGTAACAGCTGGAGAGAAGTGTTTTGAAAATGGTCACCAGTATGCAGATAAACGGCCCAGGGGGATATTTTAAGACTTTAGTACTAATTTTATCCGGGCCTGGGGCGGATTTGGTTTTAAGATTTTTAATAATATCTTGTACCTCTTTGGGGGTCACTGATATTAAGGGTTCGCCTAGCGGTGGTAGCGCAGCCCTAAGTTCGATTATGCGATCCACCTCCGTTAGGTAGGCTGTATCGACGTGTTCACGCGATGGCGTAAATTGCTGTTCTAGTCTGTATAAAATATTTAATCCGCCATTTTATAACGGCGGCCATCTTGAATTTACATTTATACCGAATTTATTAAATTGTATTGTCATCAGAACTAAAAGTGCGTACTAAATTTCAATTACTAGATTCGACCCAAACAGATCAAGCTTGAAGGGGTTCCAATTTCAATTACTAGATTTGACCCAAACAGGTCAAGCTAAATAAAACCGTTTAGTAAAAAGTCGATTAAATAATAAATGACTTGATAAATATTGGCATCATTTGATCATTGAGTTATATCACTAATTCTAATGAATAAGAGCAAAATGTAAACTTCAACGTTAACAAGCAACGTTATTCTTCAGTTTAAAGTATTAAACTTAGATTTCATGCTATGCAAAGTATGTATACTATGAAATAAAAGTAATAATTCCCCAGAAAAACCACAAACGTAACGTAAATAGCCTGTCAGTTCTAGACCTAACGTTCTTTGGATGTGACTATTCGTATTTTCTTGCCGATAGATTTTGGTTTACTTTGTAGTGACAAGTGAAACATATACGAAGTTCTAAAAATCGTTATTATTGACAGCGTTTTTCCGACTCTTCAATTCATAGTAAATAGTTATCTAAATATTTCTTTACAAGGAAAAAAACTTATAAATAATTTTAAACGACGAATTGTAAATCCAGTGAAACACGAAACATTACACAGGATACAAACTGCAGCTATTACTCATCCAGTTCTTAACTTTTTGTTAAATATTTAAGGTAACAAGACCGCAGAGTTTCTTGCCGGTTCTTCTTTGTTCAGGTCTAGTTTAGTCAACCGGTTGTGTTTTTTTATGGTCAATAAGAGCTTATATTGAATAAATGAAATTTAGCCTATATTGAATAAAGAAATTTTGACTTGTACTTGAATAGAATTGAATTTGAGACCCGTGTTTTAATTACATATAAACACACAATTTTGTATAACCGTAATAGCTTAGTGTCGGGGCTCTGACCCTTATTTCAATAATCCTCGAAAAACCTGAGTTCGATCCCCGGTGCTGACAGCAATACTTTTTATTTATAGTTTCACTGTTAATTTTAAGTGCTGACTTAACACGTTCGGATGCTATAATAAGCTAATTAAGCTTGTTTTTATTATTAGAGTAATTTATGATATCTTTTACGCCAGTTACTTTCGTTTTGAGTTAAGGGATACTTTTTTACGAATAAATGAAATCCATGAAACATATCAATTTTAAAAAAAGACAATAAAACCGTTACATTTTCAGGTAAAAGAAATAAATCAAATTGTCTTTGTAGGTGAATAATCCCATTATATAAAGTCAAAATTCAAGTTGCGCCATGATAAAATAAAATTGAACTATCCTGAACGCCCGTTTACGTGTCATAGAGTCTCAATTCAGCTCACATGGGCCCCTAGACTATAAGTCTTGTGAGCTGAAAGAGAGAGACGATATAGACCACTTTGAACATCGCTGGTCTAGATAAATATCCGAGTGCGTGAGCCTTTCACAAACACGAGTTCACGGATATAAAGTACACTCCAATTACCAACAACAATTTGTGGATCTTATAAATATTTATCGAGATTGGGGATAAAATAACAATACGACGCGTAACTGGTAGTTGACAAGGTAACCACTTAAAATGTTATTAATTTAATTAATTAATGTTATGCGAAAAATAGCGATATACTCGCTCATATACCGTTAAAATAATGATAAACATTCTATTTTAATTTAAGAGACTTTATTTAATCGAATTTTGTTTTACACAAGACACATCCGACATTTATCGATTATTTGAACTCATTACGTATAGAGAGTGCTCGCGCGGGGGGCTGTAAGCTGCTTCTGATGTTTTTCTCTTTGCGTATACATCTTGAACATTCCTCGTAGCTAGTCGCCCGTGATACTCGACTTTTATGGCCTAGTGTGGCCCGTCGTTGTACTTTCACGCCCACCAGTTCTGTGAAATTATCAGCATCTTAAAAAATGTGAAACCAAATAGAAAACCACCAGCTACTATTTCATTTGTGTAGTTGTTACCGGCCAAACCCGATTTAAGGACAAACTAGTTTTGCCCAGGCTAAACTAGTTCTTCCTATACGAGATAGGAGTCAAACTAGTTTAGCCAAGGCAAAACTAGTTTGGCCGAAGCCCGATAGGATAAACCAGTTTAGGCTAGTTCTAACTAATTTGTCCTAAGCCCGATAGGATAGACCAGTTTAGGCTAGGCCACACTTATTGATAATTATTAAAATATATTGATAAACTGAATAAAATTACTTTCTAGATATACTATAATGTTTAGACTAGGCCATACCAGTTTATCCTAGATTGTGCGTATTTATATCAGGATCAACCAGTTTGGCCTAGCCTAAACTAGTCTATCCTATCGGGCTTAGGACAAATTAGTTTGGACTAGCCTAAACTGGTTTATCCTATCGGGCTTGGACCAAACTAGTTTAGCCTAGGCAAAACTAGTTTGTGCTGAAATCGGGTTTGGCCGGTAACATAGTCATACAGGCTTATTTATGATAATTAACATGTCCAGAATAAGAATTAAATACTTTAGGTATGTGTCGTAATGTAATTAGCCAGATGAATGTAGCCACTACCTTCACTTAAATAAGCATATTGGCACAAGACAAGAATATAACTTGGAAAATGGGTACTAGTAACTTGTGAATTTACTTTCAAATTTTGCATGAAATCCTCACCACTTTAGCAAATACAAAAATATTTTCTTATTTCTTTTCTATTTCCGTCAATTTTAACGTGAATCCAAGAATATAGAATACATCCGTTAAAAAACTTTACCAACCTTTAAAAAACATGGGCCCCGGTTACCTTTTTCACCAACGCAGTACTTCGAAATTTAAAATTTTCCAATACTTCTCTCACCTGACATTGGCATCCCATCGCATACGCTTGATCGGTGACATGAGCGATTTGATGAATTTACCTTAATGCACATCAAGTTATTGAAGGCCTGTTATCAATGTAATATTATTATAATATTAGTATGTAAAAAAAGATCCGTTATAATTTAAAAAAAAATTATTCTTCATTTGGAGTTTATGAGCATAAACACTAAGACCATGAAACAGAGTAAATTTATTAAAAAAAACCTTTGTAAGCATTTTAAATTAATATATTTCAAAAATAGGTGAACAATTTTTGAATGGTTTCTATATGTTTTTTGTGGGTTAAGGATTTGACTACATTGTCTATTCTATTACTATATATTACGGCCCCTTATTAACGTACTTAGTTACTTATTAACTGCCATATTTAATGTGTCAACGGACATATCAACTTTGTCTCGGTTAACTGTTAAGGGTTCAATAGTTTTATTAATAATCTGTTCGAGGTTCATCATTGCTCGACGAAAGATCTACTTTTGAAAGTTCAGTCAGAATACATTATCACAGAATACATAGGTATGTTTGTATGACAACAAATTTCAAAAAACAATTGGATTTCAATTTCAATAATAAATAATTTCTAATGTTAGACGACAAGTAGGGCCGTGATAGCTCAGTGTAGGGGCGCTCGCCTTTAATTCAATATACTCGAGCAACCTGAGTTCGATCCCCATCGATATGTGAAGATATGTGAAGTCCCCATCCCCAAAGATATGTGAAGCCCGCCAATCCGCCGTGGGGCCACGTGGTGAACTATGTCCTGATACCCTCTGTATAGAGGAGGCCTTTGCCCAGCAGTGGAACATGTATAGGCTGTTACTTTTTTAGACGACTTTGTACAAAGAATGCGCCTACATCAATGAATTGAAATGACGAAACTATTTTATTGTCTAGTGCAGAATTTTCATTGAACACTATTTTAGTTTATTTTTAATTTTTTTTTAACATCTTGAAACGGGTTGAAAATGTTTTTCTGTAGCGCATTTAATAAACATTTATTGGCTTCGGTGCCAAGGGTGTGCCTTGGATTTCCGCACAGGACAAGCATTAATGTAACCCACGGATAATTGTTTTGGATGTGGGTGTTTATTCTCAAACAGTGTTAACGTTAGATCTTAAAAAATCTAGCCAGCACCACTAATAACATGATTCAAATGTTGTGCCGACTCCACCTCGGTGGGATAAGAGAAGGAGAAGAAGAAGAAAAAAGAAGACATGATTTTGCAAGCATTGATGAGTATTAAAAATGATGAAATATTATTGAATATTATATAGGAGTATTAAGATGTATATAAGAGATTTATAACATTAATTACCGCATTTACTAGTAAATTATTAATAACCGGCTTTTAATGATAATACTCGGATGAAATAATAACAAGTCGTTTTGACAATCGGAACTCTTGTTGTAAGATTTAAGTATTAAGTACCTGTTTGAATCCGTGTCTGTATTTATTATTCATATAGCAGTAAATGATTGGATTATAGCAAGAGTGTGACATTGCAAGCCAGTGACTTGCAAACCATAAATATGGCATACCAGGCCAAGCGCTCCACTCGTCATCATTTCCGTGAATTGTCCAAAGCATCTGTAAAAGGATTATTTTCAACTGTCCTAATAAAATGTTGTAGTCAAATCTAAGTTATAAGCCCTCACACTCTCTTAAGAATGATTTTTGCCCTTTAAAATTTCCACTAGGCCAATCGAGTCGTCGATTGGACAAAGAAAAGAAACAAAGAAATTGTAGGTAATTAATAATGTAAATTTAATTAAGCTATTTAACTATATAAACGTAATTGACTATGTATAACTATTTTCATGGAGCAAAAATATGACGTAACGATTAATACTTACGATAAAAATATTCAACGGTAACCAGCACACAACAAAAACTGCTACCACGGTAACCATCATCTTGACCATCTACACAACAAGAATATGCATAATGTAGTACAGAATAGAAATGAAAAAATGATATTAACTTGTAGGTTATTTATGAAAAAATTACGTTTATGATATTTTCATGATAAATAGATTTTGAATTTATATTTCTTTTGGCGTGTTTGGAAAAAAATGAGACTAAAATGTTTTCGATGCGCGCATACACTGACAACCAAAAAGAAACATGATGAAGTTGGTTGTAAGGCGAAGAACTTCACGGTATTACCATGGCAACCAATAACAACTTTGTGACATTTACCTTTATTTTAATAACATTCAAATGATAAACTAATACAAAAGATATAATAGAACAATGAAACTAAAACCTTAAACAATATGATATAATAACTAAAATATATTATTAAAATAATCTAAGCCGAAAATACTAGCAGCGTTCCCCTTTGAATAGCTAGACTAATTCTTTCTCCGAGGTAGCTGCCAGCTCTACGGTCTCCTGTGATGTCGACTAACTTTTTTGCTATTTTCTTACAAAGCCTTATAGCGCAAAGACCCCACGGAACAAGGGTCTCGACACCGAATGGGGCAAAATCATATTCGAAGCCTAGACCTCTGTATTTGCAAGCTTTATCTTTTTCAGCCGCTTCACAAGCCGCACCAGCTCTGTTGTTGGTTCCATATTTTAATTGAATTTAATATCTTTTTAATAAACAAACAGTACTGGCATAGGTGATCAAGTGTTTTAGTTTTTTTTTTCTTTTGTAACGCTGAAGAGAAGAGGTATAAATTCTTACGTGCATACACAAGTACACACATTTTTTTAATAATACATAATATGTGCTGTACGCCGAACGTAATACAGATTTTAATTAAGTAATGTGTTTTTTTTTTGTTTAAGTTTTTTATAGTGCTAATCTCTGCACTTAAGATTGAACATTAAAACATGTAGAAAAAGTACGAAAAGATTGTCGCCGCTGTGGGAATCGAACCCACGTCTTCGGCATTCGCGGCCTGACGCTCTAGCCACTGAGCTAAACGGCTGATAGCCACAGCGACGAAAATCTTAACGCCTTCTTTCTACATTGTTATTTAGCATTTGAAGCAATGCTTGGCGCTATTGTTATATCCTTTCCAGCATACAAACAATTTCGAATATCGTTTTACAACGATAATTCGAACGAGAGATGTCGCCATTGCTTTTATAAATTTTAAAGTTTTTTATAGTGCTAATCTCTGCACTTAAGATTGAACATTAAAACATGTAGAAAAAGTACGAAAAGATCTACCCATGCTCACCAGTCCACAATGATTGCATTGTAACAACTGTACGTTTGTCAAGTTTTCTTCTGCACTAAGAAATAAATGTCGTATTGCGAGAGTTTTCATGAGCATAGAAAATCACGCACACACGAATTACAGCCAGATTAAAGATCGCAAATTATGGAGCAAACGAATTTTATCCCGTGTGGTTCTCACAACTTAACGCGCGATTTGATATGGGCATTCAGGAATCTAAATCGTCAGCAAAAATCGCTTCATCCTTATCTTATTACCTCATGTTATTCAGAGATAAAACTGAAAAAGTTAATTAAAATTTCATCCTCTGCGCCAATACTCTTTGTTTGTAAAAATTAAATTAAACGGTTTAATTAAATAACTTGGAATTATAGGTAAATGAAATTTTACGCTTTTACTATTTTACCCTTAAATCCAATAATAGAATGCTAATAAACTTATTTAATTCCGAGATTTTTGTCTGGAAAAATCTAACTTTGTACAGAGGCGGTAGATTAATATCCACTTTACAAATACGATGTTTTTTTCCAAGAAACATGGTTTGAAACCATAATATTTTTTTTTAATTTGACGTAAGCTCACCTTTCGTTTGGAATTCTGCATTCGGGAATCGCGGTCGGACTGAGCTTCCCCGGGCGGCCTCACGCCCCAAACTACGTAGGCGATTCGACTGTAGGTCCCCACAAGGGCTGCTAATGGCAGAGCGAATTGTAGGGTCAGCAACACGAGAGTGTATCGTTCACTGTACTGAGCGTTATCCCATTTTTCGCTACAGATGTTGCTGTTGGAAAAATAATGTGCTATTATAATTGCCAAGTTATATAGGTTGCAGTTTTTTGTATGAGACACGGTGGTCAATTATGAAGTCGGTCCAACTGGAGTTGGTGATTACTGATGGATATCCACAGCACCCGTGCAGCTCAAGTTGAGTTACTAACACTTTAGAGTAGATTTCGGTGAGGCTTTCCTTGAAAATTCCATCCATCAACTATTTTGCTATTTTAAAAATAACAGAAGCTGTGTTGCTCTAACATGAGAAAAAGAGTTGCATTTTTAAATTATATGAAATAAAATTTTTCTTCTTCATTTTAAGCTCAAATTTTTGTACGGAATACTCTACTCTATATAGATAAAAAGTTGTTGAATTTCGTTTCCATTCAAAGCCTCAGGTATAAAGGTGTTTATTGGGATTGCTAAAAAAAACTACGTACACATCACACGCCAGATGCCACAACGAAGGCTTCTGTAGTTTGGAAACAATTGGTATGGGCGAGGCGGTGAGTAAAGCGCCGCACCAAATCGCGACCACGACCACCTTCGCCACGGACTTCCCCATTCGCGGCCTTAGCGGCCGCAGGATCGCTAGGTATCTGTCGATCGAAATAGCGAGCAAGGTGTACGCACTGACCAGCACCGATACCGCCTGCGAGTAGTTCACCACACTGCACATGACAGCGCCGAATGGCCAATAACGCAACACCAACACTGGCACAAACGAGAACGGCACACAAAACAGTGTCATCAAAATGTCACCGACCGCGAGGTTCACCATGAAGTAATTGGTCACCGTCTTCATCCGGGGCGACGTGTGCACGACGAAACACACCAGCCCGTTGCCCGTGAGCGCGACGAGGAACACAGAGCTGTACGTGACGTAAACAATTGTCTGAAATAGACTGGTGGCGAGGAAGCTCCCGGGGGTCTCGTCGATAACGCACGCCAACACGTGCTCGGGCCACGTTACGTTGTACGTGTTGTTGGTGCGGGAAAAGTGTTGCCAACTCGAATGCTTTTCGGTTTCACTTTGAGCGGTCGTGTGTACTGGGCGGAACATTTTAGATAGAAATTCTTCGATGTTTATTAATTGCCATCATCGTTTTGTGCATACCTGAAAAAATACAACAATTTATATAATGTTAACTAATAAATTAATTAATGTTAAATAATAAAACCTTCATGGACTCTACCAATTCATATGCAATATTGTATCAGTGGCTGGTGTATCTCTTTTAAATATTTACTTTGTCATAAAATTTGATAAAAGTATATGAAAGCCTAAGGGGCCAACTTTTTTTAATATGCATGCTTAACATAAATTTCCAAATAGTATAATACATCCTTTTATCTCGTATTGATACGACGACATTGCTATTAAAATGCAGAAGGAGTCAATTCGTCGGTAACATCAATACATTCGCTAAGATTCAGTAATTTCTTGTCTTAAACTTTACGAGACAAGGAGAGTTATTTTATCCATATATTTATGTAAATCAGGGAAAAAACGACGACACTTGGCTATTTCATTAAACTATTCATTTCACTTACTGATTTGGACTTTGTTTGATGGTTTTTATGGTGACTTGATATTTTTATCTTGATTTTTTTTTTTCATATATAGAAATTATTATATATATTGTACCTTTTTCATGTTATACTGGGAGATTTTTTGAGAAGGGCCCAAATTTACACAGGAGGTTCAAAACAAAGTTTTTTTTTAAAAAAAATGCCATTCTATTACCTAAAAACCGAACATGTTGACAATGCAGTAGTCATTCATAAATACCAAAATTTTACTGAGCTCGAACTTGTGTGCGTGCTAGTTATAAATGATCGCGCGTAAAATAAATGAGTTGCGTATAAATCACGCACTTTTTGAGATAAGTTCAAATGAATGTAATTAATTACTTACGAGTGATTTTAAATATTTATCATGTTTTATATATAGCATTATTCATGTCTAGAATTTAATAAAAAATAAAATGGATACACTTAGAAAAGCCACCCTATATAGTGAAAAACGAGCTGGCGGTTCTCCTGATGTTAAGTGATAACCGCCGCCCATGTACATTTGCAACACCCGTAGGTTTGCAGATGCGTTGCCACCTTTTAATAAAGTGTGCGCCGGCTACCTCACTCACCAGACGAAACCCAGAGGTATACAACTTCTACTTCACGCCGGTTTTCTGTGAGGTCGTGGTACTAACCCGTACGGACCTGCTAACACTGTTGCGTGGCCCTAACACGGTTAAAACATCATCACGCGCCACGGAGCATCAGACATACCCGTGGCGTCGGGGGTCATGGATTCGGATCCCACACGATACAGCTATTTGTATGACCGACAGATCGTTGTTTCGCATCTGGGTATTTGTCCACGTGAAATATATGTTTGTAAAACGTCGGACGCACTATATAAAAAAAAACGAAAAAAACGTGTGTATAACGAACAAAATAAACGCTCAACCTGAAAATAAAAACAAGTAGTTCCCCTTCTAATTATTATGTTACTTATTTTGCACAATATACAGCGTGTCGTTACCATCGCGACAATAAATGAACACACGTCTAACGCTACTTGCCAATAATCATAAAAAAATATTAACGTTAAACAAAATCCATAATTAAAAAAATATATTTTTCAAACAAACTAATTAAGTAAAAAAGAAACAAAATTTGTAACATCCTATACAACTCGCCCCACAGCGTCGCATTACAAGCCTCTCCTTCTAACAGTATGTTTTGTCTCTTTTAAATTCATTCAACCCATTCATATGCTTTGTGACCTTTACAAATGAACTTTACGTTACAGTTTTATACGTAAGGGTGTCCTAAAATTCTTTGTTTCGGAAAATTTAATAACTCTGTAAATATTGATGTTTAAAGAATGTAAATATTTATTACAATTTTGAAAAGTTATCCCCTATATGTGTGTTCATTTATTGTCGCGATTGTAAAGACACGCTGTATAGATATATATACATTAAAATTTATAGCTGCACCGCGTCGTAGTAACTATCAGCGAGTGTAATAAATGGACCCGGTTTTTATATACGGCCCAATAAAATTGATAGCGGATTTAGCAATTCTTAAAGATTATTACTACCCTATGTCGTTGGAAATGGACCCATCATTATCACTCCAGTAGCGTTACGCTACTCAATCTCGACACCGTACATTTTTATCGCAGGTTAACCTTATATTACATTTAGTTCATCGTAGAAGTTTTATACGAATCGACTGGGATTAATATTCTCTTGCACCTAATTATTTTCACTGTTTATTTGTCGAATAATTGGCAGAGAACACCAAATTACGCTATTGTGCAAAAATTTCTTTAATAAATAAATAAATATTTTAACTCGGTACTTAAAGGTACTTAAAATACATTGAAAACAATTTTGTTGCCAACATCTGCATGTAAGTTATCGTGTATGGAGCGAAATCAATATTCCAATAAAATTTTTCGTACTATCAGTCATTTTAGTCAAACATTGTACATAATATTTCATAATAACGACCTGTTATTCTTTCTTCTCTCACGGGTGTTCAAGTCATTATGGAAAAATATATTGTTTTTTATATAATATATTATTGTTTATATTTTACTAGCGAGCCGCACCGGCTTTGCACGGGTGCAATGTATTATACATATAAACCTTCCCCGTGAATCACTCAATCTAATAAAGAAAACCGCATCAAGATCCGTTGGGTAGTTTTAAAGATCTAAGCATTCATAGGAACAGACAAACGACTTTTTTTTAATACTATGTAGTGATTAGGGGCACTAAAAGAAAATGAACAAATCTAGAAATTCGATACACAATTGTAGACGAACATTGTATATCAAATGAATAATGTTCACTAGTTGCTTGATCTTTAATGTAACCTCGTTTATATAGACCAAACCATTTGATCTTCATTGAGTTTGGCAACACTTCTGACGGCTCCACCTGAAGAGGGCGAAATAAACCTACACCTCCTCGAGTTGTAGACTTGGGAAGGCCATTGCCTGTGTAAGATTTAGTTTTATGGGAAAACGGAGGTAAACGAGTAAGCGGGTCAACTGTTAGTAAGAGATCACCGCCGCCCATTGACACTTCAACATCCATTGATTTACAATTGCGTTGCCGGCCTTTAAAGTAGGAGTAAGGCTCTGTATAGGTAAGATGTACATCAAGATTCCTACCTATGTAAACAAGGTGATCTGGAAGTTTTTTTCAGTCTGTCTGACTGGTAACCTGACCTTGCACGCGTGTACGTGGAGTACGGGTGGGCGGTGGGTGTGCGTTTAATTCCCCCTTGTCCCGAACGCTTTTGACAACTACGACATACACTTAAAGTTACCAAGCGTATGATCGTGTCCTAAGTTCATCTAAATCAAAGCGAATTCTATTTACGTTATTGTCTTACTTATTCGAATATCGCTTATTTGAATAATTGAAATAAGAGAAAGGAGGTTAGGTAGGTGGTAGGAATTAATTTGGGCAATTATATTATACATATCGTTCAATTCGCCCACAGTCTACATGCTATAATTAACAAAGGAACAAAATATTTTTTCACATATCGCGTAAGAACATAAATGAGAATATTTTTGATGGTTATCCCCTCGCGGCTAAAGGGCTTTACGGATTTGAATTGAATGTATAGCTTTTTACCGAATTAACATAAAGGATATTTTCATCCCAATAAAGTTTATATTTTTATCGTAAATAACTCAATGACCATAATATCTGCAGATATAATGTACTGGTTTTAAAAAGCTATACAAGAAATAACATACTTTGTTAACGTAGCTCTATTCGAGTTATACATAAAAAATAATGGATCAATTAAAATTCAAACAAGTAAATACTAACAAAGTATGACAAACCTTTGGAAACACAAGAAAGTAATTCCATTACCACATCAAACAAGACTTGAGCGAGGAAACTGTAGTAATTTGAGGGTCTTTCATCCAACTTTTCGCAAGTGTGCTTTTCGGCTACACATATCTAGCTAAATTGTAATGGAAAAATCAGGCCATGTTTCATCGCAGATAACCGCCACGGATTTTCTCACTTGAAGCCTTCTTTCACGAAACCTTGAAATATGTTTTTATCCATGAATGTTTATTATATATCTATTTCCATGATCTTTTCAATGTTTCATTAGACTAAAGCTTTAATATGTTACATTAAGAACATATTTTGTACTCAGCACTATACTCCAAATTTTAAGATAACAATTATTGTCGCACGTTAAAAACACGATAAACAATAAAATTTATATCTTAATGGTACTCGCCACTGAGATTAGAATAGGTGGTATTCGTGAATATTTTTTTTTTATTTTAACAAATCAACTCTACAGACTCGTGGTCCGTACTCTTTTTTGATTAACATATTTTTATTCTTATTTTCTTTTTGTGCTGTCACTGGCGTGTACATCAACTGGGCTGGTAGCGGTGCAGCAGTGAGTTCGTAGTTATTGATTTTTTAATAAATATATACATATATTTATAACTTACTAACTAAACAATTTGCACAGTTTTTGTTATAGGGAGAATGGACGAAGATCTCGTTGTCGCAGGTTATTAGGTAATAGGTGTTATTTCTTAGCTAGTCTCTCTGCGATCGCTGCGTCTCCGTTCCTAATTGCCATTTTAGCCTCTTATCTTGCAGGTTGATGCCGCCATGGCTTTTTGGATAAGGCGGTCTGCTGCGTCGTCACAGTCGTCTGTGTAGTAAACACAGCTGACCGTGTGCCGGGATACCGCCACTACGGCATGCTGAACGCTGTCGTGCAGCTGTACTTAGCTTGCTCACTTTTGTATGCATGAAAACTCGTAAGACTGACCCATATGTTAGTCCTTGTGCTTCATGGAGGGTGAGAACCCGCCAACCGTCGCCCGACGACCGACTTCGTGAATATTTCCGACACAAAAAGATACTCTTTATATATATAATTCTTCTGTACGTTTGTATGTAGTAGCCATTTAGGAAGGGTTCAGTGACTCCTCCTAAACGGCTGGACCGATTTTAATGAAATTTTGTGATTGTGTCTTCAGCTCGA